GCGATCTGAGTTAAATTTAACAGTTGAACGGATGATCACGTAATCGAGTACTAGGTCGACAATTCCACAACAGTGGTGTTTATCGGCTTTTCTGTGCCAAGCACTGCCAATAGGCTTGGCCTAGAGATTAAAACAAACTCCGAATTGAAGTCTAATCTTGTAATTCATATATAGAGTTCACCGTACCTTAACAGGATGCAACATTCTGCTTCTTTTGGTACATTCAGCAGAAACGTAATGTAGACACAAGCACTGTGATTCAATTCTGCGACCTCTAATATTTGACCCAGATATTACAGCATAATACTTAAGGGATACGAAAGCAATAAAGACGATGGGTATATGTGTCGCATAACTTGTTTTATTTTTGTTTCTTCACCGAGGGCAGTCCCCACTCAACAAAAAGCGCTTACTATCATCAGCATGACAGTCAAAAGCCATATTTTCGTTGATAAAAACCTAATAATAAGAATCTAGTTTTTTTTTTTTACAAAAAACTATACTGGTGCACTGATCGCATGAACTATAAAAAGGATGTGAGTGTTATATTGAGTTACAGCAGACCTAAACACCTAAACTTTGCTCTCCGTTAACAAAATTCCCTTCCCTTCCCTTCATCTTAGTGCTCTGTGAGCATTTCATGTCCGAGAGAAAGGATTTAATCATAATGTTAGCACTGTTTCCTCCAGAGACGCGACAAAACCGTCGTGATAGGTAATTGGCGCAGCCGAGAGTCCAAGATCGAACAGCACGCCTTAACGTAAGATTATTAGTTTAAAAGATCTTGGTCGCTTGGCTTCGGGTCTTTTTGTCCATGTCAGAAACTTTGGATGTAGTGTTTAGAATTACGCAAGATGTTTTCTAACTAGTATGTTTCGTTAAGGCTTTAACTAAAGAGCAGAAACTTCTCCAGCGGCTTGTTTCAAACAGAAATTATCTTGCTTCATGGGCGTTATGAAAAATGAAAATATCAAAGAAAGCTAAGAGCAAACCAAAATTTTGCGTTCGTGATTATAATATATTGTTACATAAAGAACTGTAAAATTATAAGATTGAGATTTCTTGCTAGCTTAGACGATGCGTATCAGAACAAGTTAATTTAACGCTCAATGCTATATTTTGCTCGTTTACGGCTTTCTAATATGGAAACCAGGGGCTCAATTTACGAAGCTCTCCTAAGCATTATTTCGCAACATACCCTTTTGTATTCGAACTATACTTACCAGTCACCATCTTAATCTAAAAGTCCTTCGTGAATCTGGCCCTAGGTCAGTTGGTTGCTTTTAAGCTTAACCCAAATCAATAACAGTTTTCTGTAGAAACCTTAACTTCGTGTTTATCAGTTCAGGCTGGTTCTTGCACGCGGAGGCCTGTAAGGAATGGTATTTTTGCAGTTCGTAGCGGCTTGCTCTTGTCGTGTTGAAGATTTTCGGAGCCATTTACTGAAATGTAGCCTACAGTTTTCATCAGTGGGCTACAAGCCTCTTCAAACGAAGAAATCAGCGAAGGCTTTTGGCGAAATCTCCATTTCTCGATTGAAGCGGTATCAGTTTTCGATATAACCAGCGCCAAGTATCGCGATGTATCCCGGCCTGGAGGCGGAATGCCCTTAATCCAATTGGTAATGATATCCACCATAGGAAGACCAAAGTATTTGTATATATCGAACACTTCTTTTGGAATGTTGCTGATAATGTCTTCGTAACGGACCAGAATGTAGCGCCTTTTGAACCAATTTGACCATTCTGCATGAACGTGATCTAAGTTTTCTAACACGAGCGTGCATAGCATTTGCGCATTTTCCTTCAGAAGTTTTATTCCTTCGGGAGACATTGGCGTCTGTGTAAACAGATTGGCGACTGGCCCCTCCATGAAGAAACGTCGCGGAATTAGAGAAGAAAGGACAGCGCGTGGATCCCTGACCAGGTGAATAATGAAACAGTCAAACTTACTAGGATCTGAGCGGCACACCTGCTCGAGTTCACGAATTCCACCTTCTCTGGGAAGTCTTGTTTGCATGATCTTAGTGACTGTGATTTTTCGCGCGTTACAAGCTTTTTTCAGTGATTCTTTGTTCAGCGGTGTCGATGAATACCATGAGTTCAATTCTCTTGTCAATTTAGGGAAAGCTAACTCGATCGTTCTTTCTTCGTCAAAACCACAAGTGAACAAGTCACGAAGCAGAGTCGAAAAGTCTTGTCTGTAGGCATCGTTGCTCGACTTTTGTAGGGCACGCCACTCATTCGTATCAATGTCTCTTCTAAGAGTGTTCAGAGGTTCATAGATATAAAACACATCGGGATGAAGATTAAACATATTTCCCACAATTGTCGATCCAGAGCTCATATGCGTCAACAGAATCACATTTAATCTGGTTTTGGTGCGGTTAGTTGTCACTACAGATGTCGGTATCACAGACTCGTTTCTTGTTTCTCTCTTTGGCGCTGTTAATCTCGTCATCTCGTTTTCTTGACTCATGTATATCACAATAATTACGGGAACGAAAATAACAATTGCGACAAACACTTTGGGGCTTTGGAATACTCTCTTCATCTTCACTGTTTAAAACAAAAGAGTTTGATTAATTTGTGAGACCCAAGTTAGTTAAGTATGACAGGTTTGATTACTGAATCAAAGGGGCTGATGACGGTATCTTATGTACCGTAATTCTGTTTATATTCGTTACCTATGAGCTCTAAACTTTCATTTGACAGAGCAATGGTCTTTTATTGACAAAATCATTAACGGCCACATAAGAGAGTAATAAGATATTTAAATGGCGCTTTCATTTAAATAGGGATAAACGTCAGGAAAAAAAAGTAGGGCCGACGTTTCCAATTTTAGCCAAATGCTTATTTTTCCCAGCTATGGCCCTTTTGAGGTTTTCTGTGTTTCTATGAATTCTTCTATAGTGTTAAGACGTTACTGTAGTCAAGAGAGCCGGGATGAAGGGTAAAAGAGCTAATCCACCACCATGTAGGCCTTATTTCCAAGCTAACCCCTCTCTAGTTATTTTCAGATCACTCCTGACTTGTAGCAGAATGTACGAAACCCAATCGTGCTGTAATGCGAATTTTGCTAACGTGGAAAACCGAAGCGGCTTTCCTCGACAAAAACACCTATTCAATGCGGTGGTCGGCGAGACTGAGAAGTTGTGGTGTTTCAAAATCCCGGACTTTTATGACAGAATGATTAAGGTATGGACCAGGCAGGAACTCGTCAAGCTTGTCTGTAGCCATGACTACAGGAATCGAGCCAGCATTCCATGCATGATGGAGTTGAGCATCTACGAAATAATCGCAGTCTTGGTTAAAAAACACCAGAGTAAACTTATATTGTCTGGCCAGGTCAGATTTTATATCTCTAAAATCTTTGCCATTTTGGTTACGATATCTTGCCGTCAGGCCGTTTTTGTTATGTAGGCAAACTCCATGTTGGTTTTATTGTTTCTTGAAATATATATATTTTGAATTTCATTTCTGAAATTTCATGCATTTTGACTTTGCATGTTGCTTTCATGTCTGCTTTAAAACAAAAGTGAAAAAAAAGGTTTGATTATTTTTCGATACCTTCTGTTCTCATGGGTTTTCGTCAAATTTTATAAAATTGTTCCAATAAGATTAAATAAAGTCAGTCACCTGGGAAAAAAGAAGAGCATACGCAAATCCAAAACTTGTCCTCAGAAATGCGTTTGGCCGATAATGGTGCTACTCGTGTTTCTGAGGTTGCCGAACTGGAGCGGAGATCGAATCGTCTCTAAATGGAGTCGTTTGAAAAAAGTCAAAAAAGTATTTTTGTTTTTCTAGTACAATGTCTTCACCTTCTAATACAATGTCTTCCCCTTCTCGCAAATTTCAAGTGTAAAAAGGTTCTTTTTAATCTTGTGTACATTGGCAATATACAAGAATAATTCCATGAATTCCGAAAAGGCAGATCTGTTTTCATAAGTCAAGAATTTCGTGAGAACAAGAAAACATGGTGGTTTCGTCCAAGGGAACAAAAGTTATCGTTGGATTATTTTGAAAGAACAATAGATATCTCTAATATTAATTTGTTAATGACAAAAAGGGAGATTAACGGATCAAGGGAAAATACATCACGTCCCGCCTGAATGGCCTAAGGAATGCGTGTGGCCGACAATGGTGCTACTCGTGTTTCCTAGACAGCAATGCTGGAGGAGGCCGAAACGTCTTTGCACAACTGACTAACATATCACACTCGGAAGGTCTTTCCAGTCTTCGAACTTATGACCGCAATACCTATCAATCATCGTCTGTCATTTTATACCAGTAATTAAGGTATTTTGCACACGCTACAATCCGTTTAATTCCATTGCAGTGGGCCTGTCTTAGGGTCCTGTTACGTCTTGCGAGGCACCTCCACGATCCTCCACCACTCTTGGAAGAATTCGATAAAAATACGGTGTGGATATGCAGTCGAGCATTTGGACGTCTGATTGATCACAACGTTTAGTGTCACGTGACAGTTCATTATCTCCTGACTCCGTTACTTGAAACTGTGACCCTGCTGGCCAGCAGAAGCAGGGAACTCTTCTTTTTTAAAAAATCTTTATTTTAAATGGTAGCTTGAGAAAAAAAAATTGAAAGTCAGAAAAGTTAATTTAACGGTCTAGGAAAATAAGATCGGTACTGAAAAAAATTGGAATTGACAAAACAAAAAAGTGAAAATGACTATAAGGAAAGATATTATGCGCAGTACAAGGGCATTAAAAATTTAAGCCACCTAAGTTGCAAAGAAAAGTGAAATTGTCGGTGTAAAAAGTGAACTGCAGAAAAGTGAAACTGACGGTGCAGAAAAGTAGAATTTGGCACTAAAGAACCATGAAATTGGCAGCATAGAAAAGTAAAATTGACAATGCACAAAAGTGAAATTGACAGTGCCAAAAAGTGAAATTGGCAATGCATAAAAGTGAAATAGGCAGTGCAAAAAATTGAAATTGACAGTGCAGAAAAATGAAATTGGCAATGCATAAAAGTAAAATAAGCAGTGCAGAAAAGTGAAATTGGCAATGCAGAAAAATAGAATTTGGCACTAAGGAACCATGAAATAAACAGTCCAGAACAGTGAAATTAGCAATGTGCGAAAGTGTTGGCAGTGCAGAAAAAGTGGCTAAGAGTTGAAGTAAATTTTGCAGTGAAAGTAAAATTGGTAGAACAGAAAAGTGACATTGACAAGGCAGAAAATTTGCAGCGGAGAAAAGTAAAATCGTAAGTGCAGAAAAGTGAAATTTGCAATGTAGAAAAGTAAAACATGCAGCTCAGAAAAGCAAAATTGCGGTGCAGAAAATTGTGAGATGAAATTGTCATGCAGTGACGAAACGCTGTTGCTCAATTTAGTCCCTGAGTACCAAAGTGTTTCGCTTTGAAAGTTGTCAAACCTGATAAGAAGAGCTTTTAAAACAGCTTGAGGTTCAACACATGATTTGGGAAAAATAATAATTTTGCATGGAATGACGTAGCAAGGGCGACTCATGTCATATATATTTTCTTTGGCGTCGATAAGTAAATTCTAGCCTGAATAAAGCTGCTGTCCTGAGTAAAGTTTGTGATCTTACGGAATAACAAATAAAAAAAGAAATCATATTGTCGATTCGGAGGCAAAAATTATTCTGCAAAGCTTGGCACAATTAAAAATTTCTAGTTATTTTTGTCATACAAAAAAACCCGTGGGTGATAAAGTAGTTTCGTCTTGTGCATGCACGAAGAAAACTGGTCTGAATTGGGTTGATGGTAGTCAGAATGAAATACTGGAATAAAATTATCACATCACATACCCATCTCATCCCATGAGCTACCCTCTCTGCCTAAAACCAACATGAAGAGCGAGGGCTCTGGAAACGTCACTGGTTTGAACATCGAAAATCGTACTCGCTCTCAATCTCGTATGCGTAGTCCAATCTAAAGGTCCCTACTAATTACAAAGAACCATGAAGGGATTAGACTTAAAGCATAGTGATGCCATAAGCTACTATGCCTATGTAGTGAGTTAAGATGTAATAAGTAAGTAGTTGTATATTGTAGGCATGGAGTACTCTAATACCTGTAGACATGAAAACTAAAAAAAGTCGATTTGAAATGCAGTAGTAATAAGGTCACGGTAGTAATAAAAGATGTTTGTGTAGGACTCCTTTGAGTGATCAGTTAATTGAATGTTATCCATTTTAGAAGTTAAAGCCTGTTATTACAAATGTTGTGCTTTCATCATGATACCGAACCAGCGGATTTGAAAGAACTTAACCGTTCTGTGATCATATGAAGGCGTTGGTTTGATGACCAAATAGATTGTTTTCCTGGCAGCCATATTGGTTTCCAAACACTAGGAAAGTGTTACATAACAAAAGAACTCATTTCCCAAAGAGAAGAAATTTCATTGTTTGAGAACAGCAACACGACCGTCATGACGTCATATGACGTCATGAGCTTTATACCGCTATTTTTTCACACGTCTTCATTTGACGGTGTAATCAGCATGTATTTAGTCTGTCAACGCGCGTTTATTATTTTTTTGACTAACCTGTTACTAACCGAGCGGGAGGGCCGTACTGGGGAATATTGGCCCGAGGTCGTGGTAGTACGGGCCGAGCGCAGCGAGGTCCGTACAAAAACGACCGAGGGCCAATATTCCCCAGGACGGCTCGAGCTAGCTAGGTTAGTAAGTAGTTTATTATATGACACTCGGACCATGCTTGTTTTGAACTTGCCGGCTTTCGAAAACAAAAAATACACAGCTTATGACCGTTTCCATTGAAACGGTCCGTATGGCGAAATCCCGACCAAGAAAGAACCAATCACAGGGTTGGTACGGGTCCTGGAAAACCTGGAAAGTCCTGGAATTTTACTGTGTCATTTTCCAGGACTGGAAAGTCCTGGAAAAAGGCTACTGGTCCTGGAAAGTGCTGGAAATCTGTTAAACTCAAGTAAAGAATATGAAATGTATTGCAGACAGCAAGAAGAATTAAAATTGAGATCTTGGGAGTGAATGGGTTAATGTGAATTTTAGAGTCCTGGAAAAATCAATCTGAGTCCTGGAAAAGTCCTGGAAAAGGCCTGGAAACTTATTTCTGAAAAAGGGTACGAACCCTTCAATCAGAACGCTCGGATTTACCTCAAGACTACCTTGCCATATAATAATACGAGTTATTTTTCTTCGAGCGCTCGAGCGATGCGAGCGCGGCCCACCAGAGACTTTTTGTCTTTCCCCAGCCCCACCCCCTTGGGTTTCGATTCGTTCATATCCCACGCGCCGGGTTAATATTTTGCTAAGACAAATTGACGGTAGGTAGACAGATTAGGATGCATTTGGCATCAAAGAAATTTCTCGGTTTCTTTATGCATGAAACCCTACAAACTCTGCGAAAATGAATTATTAAGGTTTTGCACGGTAACTTCTCCGGCTGAAAAAATCAGTAGCACTAAACACTGTATTTTCCAGCAAGTATT